GTTATTTTCATTATTTATGCTACAAAATGTTGATTACCAACATTATTATTGTTAAAATATATTTATGAGACATCCACTGTCAAATCAGTTCATAGATATCCAAATTAGATGTTTTATATTAATATATAATGATTAATATTAATACAAGATAATTTTTTCGAAATCCTTTTAATTTGTACAGTATATATATTTGAAATCATTTCAAATTTTACTTTTGAATCTAAGTTACTCAGAATACCATTCATTTCATGCTGTAACACGTTTGGAACTAATAATCTAAATCTCATCACTTTTCTTAAACTATTTTAGACCTCATTGACATTGCTCGATATATTTTCTAACGAGAACTCTTTAACAAGTACCACTATTTATTTAAAATCTAATTGCAATAATGTAATGCAATCATTATCCACCTTACGTGCCTATAAATATATTCTCGTTAGATAATAAAGAATTTTCTTTATTATATATAGCTCTCTATATTATCCTATTATTAACGTATATTTAATTACAATGAATAGAACTTATCACAAAGGTATTTTAAATTTCATATATGAATGATTGTATTGGCATCAGATGAAGATTATTATATAATAATATAATATATAAACAAATCATGGTTAGTATATCCGCAACACATGCATACAATCACAACTCTAAGGCAATCCCCCTACAGCCTCCCCAGTCCCCCCTACTACCATTCGCTTCTTAAAACGAAATGAACAGTACTTCGATATTAATATATTAAAGGATTCTTCGAAACTTAGTTTTACTTCATACTTTTGCCAAATCCTTCCTCTCCAAAAACTTTGCTAATTGACTTGCTCTCCTCATTTTTCCATTTCCTCTTATATACCTTTTGACCTAAAATATTTAAGCTACAAAGCGTCAGAGATGAAGTAAATCCATAAAATAATTTTTGTCGAAACGGTTCTACTATCACTCCTCGTTCTATCCTGATCTTTATATCCATTTCGTACCCTAATCTCGCCCTCGTCCTAGTGAAATTTATGACGTTTATATTACACAAGCGATATGCTCTTTTAGCGAATTTTCAGTGGAGTGATCACACCTGCAGTTTGCCTTCACTCCCTTTCGAGTGGCTGATCCAAATCTATACTCTAGTCTGGATCTGCCTTACAGGCGCCTATGCCCGTTGCTTACATCAAGGCATATATTCCACTTTATCGGTATACTGTTTCCTGTCCATTACAACTGTCGTTCCTCGTTTGTCCGCCTGAGAAACTATTTGTTCATTCCTTTCTAGGATTTTTCGTTTCCTCACAAATTCGTTCGTTCGAGTAGGTTCATAATGTGTCAAGATCCTAGGACTTAATTCCATCTGAATTTTAAATTTTGTCTTCTCAGGGAACTTGTCGGAGATATTTATGACCTCCCCCAGAGTATCTATAGGAGATCTCTGCTATTTTGATGATAAAAGTTTAGTCCTTTCTTTAGGATCGTAGTGGTTTCAGGATCAAGTGAAATCGAAGATAAATGCACTAGCTAGTTCCATTCGTGATAGTGATAAGTAAGTTTGGTAGCCTTGGAAACCCCTTCAACTGGGCGCGCTTATTTTAACCTACGTTGTCTTATAATTCCAAAACTAAGCAATTTGTTGCTGTGTTTTGGGTTATTCAGTCAGAGAATTCTTGTCGGTTATACTATGGAGTTTGTGAAGATCCTCTAGAGTCAGAATCCTGGTCTTCATATCTCAGTCTTTCAGAATTTAAATTTTGAATTACCCGCTTCAACTTGTTCATTTTAAAAGTACTTAGGAGACATAAAAATTATAGGTCACAGATGATGTTGCTTTTGGTTGGGCTGCATTCATCCTTTAACCGGACTAAGTTGCTTTTGCATCATTATCACAATTTATACGTTTTCAAAAGAATCCCAAGAAAATTCTACAAATTGCATACTCTTTCATCATTATCATGTTCTCTTTTAGCAACATGCAGTTGCTGGGTACATTCCTAGTCAGGAGATAATCACTTCGGCGAGTTACAGCTCAGGACTATGGGTAGCGCTTTGTACTGACGAGGCTAATAAAGAGTCTAAGAATGAACCCAGCCATCGATCTGATGACGGAAGAGCAAATAACAGTTTATAATTCATTTTGAAACGTACAGCCATATTGCTTAGGTAAATTAACCCTCCTAATCACACTGGTCAAAGTATATATCTTATAACTTTGCAGAAGAATATAATTGTGTGTAGATATTGTTAAAAATGTAAGAAGAGCGATCAGTTTGGACCAAAAGACATGATACATAAGATAAAATTAGAGTAGCAACTAATAAAAAAGCGGATCTATCTATTATATAATTCAATTTTAATTGATTGCAAGAAAAGGTAGCCTCGTCTTAAAAAATATTTTCTTATTTTAAATTTAAATAAATATTAAATAGAAAACTCTAGAGTATAAATTAAAAGAAAATAGAAATTACTGGCTCATTTCGGTTCACCTTAGAGAATAATAATTAAAATATATGCTACTAGTACTAGATTAGGTGCATGAGAGAAGAATTTTTTCGCAGGTTCCAATGACTCTCCCATCCTCATATCCCATTATATTGGTGTCTATCAAAACCTGCCTAACAGAACTTTGTTTGACGCCCACTGTCAAAGATTAAGGTTGATTGTACCATTTCAATCAGCAGGTCTTTTCTACCCAGCTTTCTCTTCTCGCACGCAGAGCAATCCTAATCTAAAGACAAATAAACAGGCTTTAGCCCGCAATTACTTTCAATCACAGTCTCCCTACCAGTTGAACTTGAGCCGACCGCAGAGTCCACCAGACTCCGACCCATCACATAAATCTGAGTCAACCATCCGACACCAATCAAGGCCAACTTCCGCATCGCGCTAAATGAGAAGCAGAAAGACTTAGATTGATCGACCTCTACGCGGATACATTCTATATTAAACATCCGATGGCACTTTTCTTATTGGCAACTACTTCCCGATGCAATAATGGCATCTCAACGTATATCCCATTTAGCCGTCAAAGCTCTGCTTTTCAAAAGCAAAAGGATGACCTCGTAGTAGCCCATTAAACCTTAGAGTCAGCCTTCCTGATCGGCAGTTCCTCGGGAGAAGGATCATCTCGCACGTATTCTAACAGGCGCCAGTTCTCCGTACGCTGCTTCTTGGCACCTCGATTCTGCATGGCAGTCGGCCGGACATATGCGTGAGGATCGCGCTTATAATCTAAACCCAATCAATGCCCACTGCCAGACCGTGTTGCTAATTCTGCGCCTACACAATGTTATTTACTCCACAGCAGCAGAAAGGATTTGAGCGGATTGATTTCTGGTCAACACCGCGTCTCGGCTTTGCATCTAATGATGTTGCCTCTTCCGAGCGGCTAAACAGAAACAGCACATCGTAGCGATACTCTTATTTCCATCACGCTCTCCTGGTCGTCCCCTCATCTCCTTAAAGCATACAAATTGCATTTATATTACCAATACATAGCTATCTATTCTATAGAGCCTCTAAAATACAATCATTGCCTTTCTAATGAGATTTAGGCAGAATCACTTTCAGTATATATCTAGAAGTGAGATCACATGGTAATAAAATTGGCGTAATGGATAACATTTAATAGGGAGCAATGTAAACAGATCGCAAATACAATAGTCATGCAAATTATAAGATATTAAAAGGTAGAGTACTAAAAAAATGTATAACTTAATTTACTTTTGTATAAGAAAATACTGGAAAAGTGACTTAACTTGGATATGAAGAACTAATTAATTTGGAAAGAAAAGGACAAAGTATAGAGGTAAATGTCTAAAAGATCCATATTTAGGCTAATGAAAACAGAAAA